GGGGGGGGGGGGAGGACCTGCGTAGTCGCCAGGGGTCAACTGGGTGCGAAGGATGGGTTTGTTTACTGAGCAGCGGGTCAGTCTTCCTGCCCTCAAGGGGCCCTTCCAGCCTTAGCCGCCTCAGCAGGCGGTGCCCGGACGACTCGCTGGGCACATGCCCAGCTGAAACGCCCAACCGGCCGTCCTCGCTTCCACAAGAGCTTAAGAAACTGAAGGTGCAAACAGTTGACCTCCGCAGTCTTTCTGGCAAGGTTATTCAGAAGGAGGAAGTTGAAGCTGTGTGTTTGTGCGAGCAGCGGGTTTTTTTTTTTTAATTGCCTCCAGTCTGCTTCTATGGAAACTCTGTGGTTTCCTGTTATCTGAAATGATTAAAAAAGGAAAAAAAAGTTCCTCCCCCCCCCCGCCAGCCCTCCTCTGCTTGGCCCCGGACTTTCTCAGAGGAAACTGAGGCACATTTGCAACATGCACGATGACGATGACTCGGCAGTGAGAGGCCTTATTTCGAAAGGCAAAACGCCCAAAGGATGCCTTGGGATCTTTGCAAGCGTCGGCCGCGTCCCGTGGGCTTTTCTGAGTGGTCAGTTTAAGGAGAAGGCTGGTTCCTGAGACCTCTTCTCCTTCTTGGCCATCGCAAGGGCTGTGGGGCGGCAGCAGAGTAGCCCCGCTGAGCTCAGGGGCCTGACTTTGCCCCTACCCCAGGGGTGTAGAAAAGACATCTCCTAATCGTTTTCTTGTTATTGTTATCATTTCCTTCTTCCTCCTCCCTCCTCCTCCTTCTTTCCTCTAAATTTTATTTGATGCTGTTTCTTCTCCCTCCTCCCTCCTCCTCCTCCTTTCCTCTTTTATTTGATGCTGCTTCTTCCTCTTCCTCCTCCCTCCTCCTCCTCCTCTCCTCTAATTTTTATTTGATGTCGTAATTATTCTCTCCATCTCCTTCTCTTCCTCCTCCTCTGATTTTTATTCTGATGTTGCCATTGCCCTCTCCTCCTTCTGAAGGTGCTTTTCAACTCTCGGCATCAGAAACAGTTTTCTCGCCATCTGAAGGCCCCCCCCGAGCTTGCCACCTTTTCTCTCCAAGCAACCCGGGGCGCGGCGCTGCTGGGCCACTTCCACCCTCCGAGCAGCATCGCTAGATGGACAGGAGGTCCTAATCGCCCGTCCTCCGAACCACTGGGAATCCACCAGGCAGAAAGCTGGAAGCAACTCCCAATATGAGTGATTTTTGGCACAAGCTGGGGTGCTGCGTCGTCGAGAAACCGCAGCCGGTGAGTTCCGCTTAGCTAGTCCTTCTGCGCGGCTCCAGTAGGAGCTGTTGGGCGACTTCAGGGTAGGTCTCCCAGCCCCGGGGTTCGTCACGGCAGCAGATGGCATCTGCCGGGCACCGAGAACCTGGCTCGGGTGCGAGGCCTTCCGTTCCTCCTTCCTCCTCTCACCGAATCTCCCTTGACTCCCTTCCGCAGCAGCAGAAGAAGAGACGGAGGATCGACCGCAGCATGATTGGGGAACCGATGAATTTTGTCCACCTGACGCACATTGGGTCCGGCGACATGGCGAACGAAGGCCTCCCCGTGGTACGGCTTTGCTCTCTGTCTGCTTCCTGGGATTCCTTCCATCCACAGACCAAAAATGGGGGCTTGTCCCCTACCAAATTGCAAGAACCACACCAGAGGAGGCATTAAAATACCATTTCCAACAGCCCCAGCTGAGAATCTTGGGATCCTTAGAAATCCATTGCTGGATCAGGGCCTGCCCCTTTGTGGGGAAGGGTCTGAGCCTGAAGCGGTGGGCTGGGTCCCAGGTTTTTGTTATTCAAAGCTAAGGCAGAGGGAGGGGAGATTGGGGTGCTCGTTCTCTCTCTAAAGTCTCAAATGTGCCCCTTAAACCGATCCATGCTTCCTGCCAAACAAAGTCAGGGAATGTGAGCATTGCAAACCTAGCTTTCCTATGGCCTGTTTCCTTCACGGTTGCTCCGGTTTTCCTACCTCCTTCTGAAAGGACAGTGTCCCCTCCAAGGTTCCATTAACACAACCTAAAAAGGATATTTGCTCATTTCGCCGCTGTGTGACGTGGCTGGCTCAGGGTCACGGGGTTCCTCTTCCGTGACGGAGATTCTCCCGCTTGTCCCTTAACTGGGCTCCATGCCACGCTTGACATCTCCGGAAGGGTCGGAAAGCGTTGCCTTTTTAAAATGTAAGCCTTGGAGAAACTCCAGGCATGTCAACTGAAAAATGACGCCAAGACGCTTTTCTTTCCCTGCCCTGAAATCAACTCCCACACAGGAACGATTGCGCAAATTCCTCCGTCCTGGCTCTGAAATCTGAGAAGCCTCATGCGCCGTCCGCAGGGGAGGCAGAAGGGGGGACCTCTTGTGGACGGCGAGCTCGCTTATTAAACAGTCAGAAGCTCTGGCAGATGGCCGGGATGTTTATACTCCCTCGAGTTCAGACATGCGACGACCCGCGGGTGCCTTCCTAAACAAACTCCGTTTGCCAAGGGGCCGGCCTCGTTTTGTGCAAACGGTTCGTCCTGAGCAACCGGGCGGCACTTCGGTCTGATTTGAAAGAACTGGGACCTTAGCTTAGAAAGGAAGGGGCGGTGAGTGCAAAGCGAGGGAAAGACCCCATCAGGTCAAGCTCGGCTCCTAAGGTGGCACAGATGCCCCGAGGCGGTTTTCTTGGCAGCGTGGCAGGCGCGGTTGGCCGTTAGGGGCTTCCAAAATTCCTCATCCAAAGAGTAACAAGATTCAGCCCCGCTTGGATGGTCTCATCTGGTGCGGCAGTGGCTTTATGTGACTGTATATCCGTGCTGGGGACCGTAATCCCAGAAACGCCCCGAGGATAGAAAACTAGCAGGCGAGACGAAAGCGTTTCTCCCTGACACGCTAGATCTCCAAGGGCAGGGAGGCCAGCTGAACGTTCTTGTGTGTCATAGAGGTCTAGGAACAACCCCCATTCTCTTCTTGTTTCTCTTTCGCTCTCCCTGCAGTCAGGAGCGGTCCAAGAAATGCGATCCAAATGCGGGCGAGAACGGCCGTGGAGCAATTCCCACATTTTATAACTCGGCGGAGTTCCTCCCCACTCCCTTTCAGTGTAAGTGTCTGACCGAGCTGCAAAAGCCACTCCAGAGCGTTCCCCCGTCGGCAACGGCTCCATGAGGACTAGTCACTCAATTTGCAGCAGTGCTGAAAACCGGTATCTTATCGCAGCCCGGGCCCGCAAAAGGCCGCCCCGAGGTTGGGGTCACCTGGGGAATTGGGAACTGACAAGAGAAGGATCCCCCCCCCAGCGGCATAACTACAGTTGGGCCCAGCAGCATTGCCTTCTGGCAGCTGTTGCAGAAAGTTAGATTTTCTTGATCCATAATGCTTTGGGACACCGCATTGCGAGGCTTGTCCAAATGTGCCGTTTTCCCCTTTCGTAATTATTTCTCGTTGCCCATCTATTAGATCTATTTCACGTTTACCCTCCTTTCTTTTCTCTTACAGGCTAGTTAATTACAAAAAAAAAACAAAACCCTAAAAAAAAAGAAGAAAGAGAGAAACGCGCATCTGCATCACTTGAATTTCCTGTTTGGTCTTGTCGAAACGGGTTGCCAAACTCAAAGCGCATGAGTCACTTCGTAACTTATCCTACGTTATTTTGTAAGAGCAACAGCCACGACATGAATTACTCTGCACATGGCCAGTTGCTGCGTTTGGGCTTAATTGTCGGCCCCGCGACACCCGCCCCTCTTGGCGAGCAGAATTGGGGACTGTCCTTCATTTACAACTTCGCCGAACATCCTACAGAGGACTGACCAACGATGCTTCCACAGCTAACAAACGATCAATCGGTATGTTCCTGTTCCTTTGTAGACCGTCCCTTCTCCGAAGGAACCGCCAGAGAGACTGAATTATTCTTGTTACCGATACTTTCGCAGAGGTTTGTCCACTGGATTTTATTCTTAAGGATGTATCCTGGCCGCCACGCAAGACATTTTGGGTGCCCTTAATGCGTGCGCGGCCCCCGTCTCGCGGAACGATCCCTCCGGATGCTGGCAAATCGAGTTCTGGATGCCCGACAGCCCTCCAGGCTGAGGCAGCGGGTGCTAAAACAGGGTTGGTGGCGTTACGGTTGCTAGCCAGTGGGTGCTGATCCTTTCAGCGAGGTGGGAGCAGCGCACCCCGCGGACCAAGCCGAACCCAAACAGCAATATGGGGCGTGGGATTTTCTCCCCAAGGCAGGCCTTGCACAACTTTCTGTCCTAAATCAGTCGCCCCTCTGCTCTTTCGACAAATGGGGATCCAGAGAAGTCCAGCTCTGCGGCGTGCGGAAACCTTGGGGTCGAGAGGTAAGCCGAGGGGCCCCGCCGCTCAAATTACAGCAGCCAGAATTCCCCCTCGGACCCCTTTCCTTCACGGATTGAAACCACCCTGCAGCGGGAACAGCGGGAGACCGAAGCAAAAATTGCAACTGCTGGGCAAGGAAATACCACATTTCTGTAAGCTTGTAAAATGCGGTTGGAGAGAATGTCCCGCGGAGACTCTTTCCCGTAGGAGGTTTGGCCCCAAGACTTCCGTCCGAAGGCTACGTTATCTGCAGCAGCATTTGATCCTTCGATTAGATGGTTCTCTTCTCCGGCCGGATTCCCTAAAAAAAAGGTGGAGGCTGCGCCGTAGAAATCCTGCGGTCAGAACCGCTGTTTCCAATACTTCCCAGGCTTGATTCTCCTGCGCTCCCCCACCCTGGTTCTCGCTCTGCGGACCTGATTTTCGAAGACGAGGAAAGAGCCAAAACAGGCCTTTAGACTGAGGAGAAGAAAATACATTTCAAGTTCCAGGGCCTGCTTTTGCAGCGCCCTGACATCCGGGGTTGTGGAAGATTGGCCCGGCAGGGGATCTTCTCGCGCTCTCTCCGAAACCGGCGTTGCAGTCCGTATGATGCCACCAGGCTGAGCACGGGAATCGCCTGACGATTCCCACTGCAACGACCCCCACCCCAATTTTCTGTGCCTGTTGCTCTTCCTTTGCCTGTCTGGCATTCCTCGCAAGCAGGTCTGAAGGGGTTAATTCCAGAGCGGAAACCTTGAGAAGCGAATAAAGAAATTCTGACAATTTTTTTCCTTTTTCCTGGCCCTAGAACTGCTAGATGTAAAATTAAAGATGTCATTTTTCCCCCCTCTGTGCTGACCAAGCAAAAGTTAAATGTCCAAGCAGAACAGCCGTTTTGCTACCGAATTTTTAATTTTCTGGCCTTCCAAAGCTGGAAGACTACAACTTCCATTATTCCTACATGTTGGCGGAGGATGAGGGGATCTATAGTTTAACTTACCTGGAGAGCATCGCTTTTCCCTCCAACAATTTAGCTGATGGGTCGATTTTTTTTTTAAGTAGAACTTTTGCCATGTTTATTTTTCCCAGCTGGTCTGGGGTTAAAAATTATTGCTTTGGGAAAGAAGAATAGCTGGGCTGTTCAACTGTCTTTTATTAGCCAGAAAGGTTATCTTTATTCTTTTTGCAAACAAAAGATTATCGTGTGTGTGAAGGGAGGGAGAAAACCTGTTTGAATATAATGTTGTCTTTCTAAAAAAAGAGTGTTATCAGCAATCGACACACTGAAATCTGGGGTAAGGGAATGCTGTATTGTGCTGATTTGGTCTTTTTAAAAAAAAGTTTTTAGGCTTAGAGCGACAGAAGAATTATGCAATCTGTTTCTTCTTTCTCGTATCTTCCTGAATGTTTCTCCCTCATGTTCCAGAGAGTGTAACGTATGCTTGGAAAACCAAAATTAAATGGCAAAGGAGAACAGTGGTCTGTTTTTTTGAGAGGGCATTCAACAGGAATTCAGACAGCCAAATCCATAATTTGCTTCTTGGCCAGAGATGGGACAGGAGAACGTGCATTATGAGTTTCCTTCCTAGCTTGTATTTGGATTTTATCAGGGATGGGAGTGGCTTTCAGACACAAGCGGCAAATCTAGGATCCAACACAACAGCGCTTAGAGAATACGCTTTACTGGCTTTAATTCAATAAATCAAATTTGTAATGGAGTTGGATGCCAGACTATGGGAAAATACAGAGGATTTTTTTTTTTTTAAGTCACGTTTCTGATGCAAAAGTGAAGGATAACATGCAGAATAACAGGTTATTTCTTAGAAGCAAAAGCGGGCATTGATGACAGGGACTGGACATGCCTACGGGGAACCCATGATCCTGCCTCTGCGGGTGGCCATGCAGGCGAGGAGAATGGGTGGTGTAGTCCAACGGTCTCAGACACCTCTTTGATCAAACAGAAGGAAAGCGAAACGGCTGTAGGAATCAGCGATTTATTAAGTTTTCATAGCACAATAGGGGCCTCCTTTGGAGAGATTTTTGCCTGATAAGCTAAAACTCCTTTTTCTTGGCGGGAGGAGGAGGGAAATGCCATGTCCTAAAAGTCAGCTTTGAAGGGTCCTTCCAATTTCTTGCGAATAAAGTCATTTTGCTTTGTAAGAAGGGGGGAAAAAATAGAGGGCAGGGGTCTCGTGAATGGTATTTACTGGTCGCCATCAGTGTCGCGGTGAGCCTGCTCCGCTCTGGCATCTTTCGAACCTGGTGCTCAGTGGCGGCTCTTCACCTGAATTGCCTTTGATTGAAAACGTTAAAAAAAAGAGAGAGAGAGAAATTGTTAGAGGAAACCGAACCTCGCCAACTTGGACAATGTGATAGATTTACTGAGGTTGGTGAAGAGAAGAGGTTCCAAAACTTTTTCATTTTGCTCTTTCTATGCCTTTTTTGTTTGGCGTACAGACTTTGGTTAAACAGGTATTTTGTCGCGGGAAAAACGCATGCCCAAAGTGTTAAATAATAATTATCGTATTCAAATACTTTTCAAGTATCTGGAATGGGGAAAAAGGCACTATTGCAAGGATTAGTTGGGTGGGGAGAAGCCTCTATTCGGCCCTCAAAAGCCAGCAGGGTTGTTTAAAAACATATTCACACTTTTTGGTCTACCCAAAACCCCGCAGTCGAGGAAAACTCAGGTTAGCTAAAGAGCATATTGAATAAGGAAGTACCGGAGTTGATTCAGCGTCTTTTCCACAGTTGTCGGGTTTGAACATCTATGATTATCCTTTACAGACAGAAAACCAAATCTTTTTCTTGGAAGGGCAGAACGATATCCACCACATGCATTTTGTGCATTATGGTTGAACCGCGTGTGTGAACTTGGCCCATGCAGTCGGCCACCTGTGCTTGGGTGTTACAGGTGCCACGGCAGCTTGACCCAAAACCCAGGATATAATAAACTCTGACTTTGTGAAAGGCCTGTGGGCAGATCTTAGCCTCTGAAGACCCACAAAAATATTAGAATAGAAACGATGCTATTTTGACTCACTGGTGAGCATAAAGGGGAATTTCAGGGTGGCAAATTAATCCCCAGCAAAGATCCTTTGGCTCTGCCCAAGGCCTTTATCCGGGTCACTTGAGGCCTCCCTCCGTATATGACTCTTGGTTAGGTTAAACATTAGTTCGTGGCTCGATTACGATTCTGTGTCTTGGGAGATGTCAAGAATTGGGTTAATTTAGTAACCCAGCTAATTGGGTTGAGCAAATGTAATTTCTGGGTCACTAACCACTGGAGGAACATCACCCTGTGGTGGCCTGTCCCATATCAGCAGAAACTGTCTTTACCCGGATTTAATTGATTGTGAAGCTGGATCCTTCTGGGTTTACCCTGCCTTTTACAGATCATCACCCCAACCAAGGGAGGCCCTAGTGAAGGGGACTGTGCCTCTGACCACGTGCCAAGCGCAACTAAGACCGAGCGGGACCCCCGGCCGAAGCTGCGCAGGCTCCCTCCGCACCTTCTTGTCAGCCGGGAAGGCCTCTTTCAGGCTGCGCCACAGGTGCTTCAGCCCCGTGTGCACCTGGCCCCAGAAGCTCCTCCTCTTCTCATCCTGGTCCTGCTGGATGTCGTGGAGGGCGCACATGTGCATGGGCCCCAGCCTGCAGGTCAGCACCAGCCGGTCGCAGTCGCGCCTCTTGCGGCTGCAGGAGCAGATGGTGTAGCTGCACACCTCCCGCTCGAAGCGCAGGATGTCGTACTGCAGGGGGTCGAGGCGCACCCCGGGCACCGAGTAGGTGATGTCGCGCACCCGGGCCATGCTGCCCGCGTGGCAGTTGCAGTGCCACTGGCTCCACTCCTGCCAGGCGTAGCGGGTGTCGCCCACGATGAGGACGACCTCCTTGCCGGAGGAGCTGGCGTAGGGGCCCTGCGTGGTGACCAGGGGCAGGAGGGGCACCTCCTTCGTGACCTGCTCCGCCTGGTCCCCGGTGATGAAGCCCGCGGACACCGTGGCCTTGGCGGCGCCGGGCAGCAGCGCCAGCAGCTCGGACGGGGCGGAGATCAGGGTGTCGTCGTCGTCCTGCGCGCGGGCGGCCGAGGGGAGCCGCCAGCACGCCAGCACCAGCACCAGCGCCAGCGCCGGCAAGGCGCGCCCGGGGGCCATGGGGGCAGCGCGGGGGGCCCCCACTCTCCTGCTCTGGGTCAGGGTCCGGCGGGGGCGGGGGTGTGGCCGAGCCGCGGTGGGGCGGGGCTTCGCTAGG